TACCCTTATCCCATCATCCAATCCAGTCAGCTCTTTGGGAGAGATGGCCGGCGGGTGCTTCATTGTGGCCGTCGGGGCGAGTCGCTTGTGCAAAAGCTGGGGAGAAAAAACAAAAAAAAGCAAGATAAACTGCAGCCAAGCGGTCTTCGACCGCCGGACTGCCGCACTATCGTTGGTCTGGCTTCCTGTTCAGGTTAGACCGAATATAGGGCACCTATCGCAGGAATTGTATGAATTTTGCTTTTTTGTGGCAAGCTTTTCTATCGTTCCCGTTCAATTGTTGTTGCTGGCATCAAAGGGTAGAATTGTCTTGAATCCTGAAACGAAAGAAGTTTCTAACCCGTTTGTTAGAGAACTTTGTTCAAATAGTTACCTGTCGCTTTTCCGTCGTGGGAAATTTGTTTATTTCGCATCGACGATTTCACTCGCGCGATTTTCCTTCGAGCTTCGCCCAAGTCGTTTGATATGTCAAAGAGATTAGGATAAGCGTTCTCTCGGTGGTAAGTTCCGCTATTGAATGGTCTGAGAATTTCCCTGCATTGGTCGTAGTCTGAATTGTGTTGCCCAGAGATATCTGTATTACCAAACTTGGTTTTCCATCTAATTTCGTGCAATGTCTCTCGCCCTGTCTCATAGGCTTCCTCTCTGCAAGCTAGTATTGCTTTTTTTCTCTCCTATTTCCAACCCGAAAGTTATTCCCATCCCAGTGAGCCACACTTGACTTTAGCACAGTACCGGCAACAAGTTTTTGACACTGACATCGCGTGGTCGCTGCGTGGCAGCCAAACCCGTTTCCCTACGGTAGAGGCCCACCTGCGGCTTGAGGGGGGGAGGATTTGAGGAGTGGGAGGATCTGGATTCGAATCTGTGGTGAGAAGTATTCGATCCCTGGCATGGTCAGCGCGTATCATTTCCATGGTCTCGCAGAAATTTTCATGGATTCTCTCCATTTGATAGCCGGGGAGGCCGGGAGAATCCAGGCGAAACAAATGTTCGGCTCCTTGGCCAATGAGTCCAGGTCTCAGTTGAAGGGGAAAAAAAGAAACGGGCAAAAGCAATTAGAGACACCAATTAGAGGGCTCAAATATGTCTCAATTGTTGGTGAGAGAACTTACTGTTTTTGTTTAAAGGATATGCATGCTGCAGAAGCTTTGTGCTACATCTGAATTTAAAAGGAGGCCGAAAAAGCACAGGGCTATGATGAGGCACGGGGCACAAAGAAAGAAATAGAGAAATAAAAGAAATAAAGAAACAAAGGGGGGTTTTTTTTTTCCCTTACTTTGTTCGCTGCTTACCAAAACTGAAGGAGTGTGCTGCACACCCGACGGACGCGATCAGGATAAGGTGAATTCAGTAGACCGGGTACGATAGAACGCAATGCTTGCAACTATAACTTCTTCCTATACGGATAGGACTAGTAGCAGAATGTGATTAACCGAGAGGAAGACTAATTGACACTTTTCTCCCTCCTGTCCCCCCAGCCCCTTTGGGGCGTTAGTTATTCATATTACAAGTATATTCAAGTTTTTTTGGTATTACCATACGGCTACTTTTTTTCGTACCGTACCTTTGTGTTGTCCCTTTGGGGGAGGGTCAGGGAGCGGAGGAGACGAGGAGCAGTAGGATTACCAGCTGGGTTACGGGCGATGGGCATGTGTACGACCATCGCTCATTCCTATTCTCATCTCCATTTTCTCGCTCCCATTCCCACTTGCTTTCCTGGTCTCTCAGTTTCCCAGTCTCTCCCTCACTCTTCCCTTACCGTCCTTGTGCTCCTGCTGCGCGGTGCTGTATGCGATGACCAAAAGGTACAATCACACCAACTCCTGTACGACGTATAATTCCGGAGAAAGGAGAGACTCCACGTTGTTGTGAGCTCGTCTAAGAGAAATTGAACCCATGTCTGAGACATGCATTATGGGAAGTGTTTCTCATACAGCCATCGCAAGCAGTGGCCACCCACCATCTGTTCGAGTCGGCCAATAAGATCGAGTCCCAGTAACCTAATTCTCTCTTTCCAGACCCATCGCTCAAGAGACCATACCCAATCTCGCATAGCCAAGGACGCCCACCGCGAGCGTTCCCTGCAAAGGATTTACTTCTCCAGCACCTTGCGCCTTCGCATCGAAGCGACCTTGTATTTTTGTACGAGGGTGTGGACAAAAGTGATCGGAAAAACGCTAATTTGACCAATTGTTGCCACAGGCTACTGGAGAGCAGCCAATTAGGTTTCAATTTTAACGTGAGGAAAAAAGTGATTGGAAAGCACAAGATTTTCCTATTCTAGTATGGTGTAGCCATACTGCCCACTGCAATAACTGCTTCAAGACGTTCTGGCATACTATGAACTAAGTCATCCAAATGGTCTATCCCAATTGAATTCCAAATGGTCTCTACTGCCCTAACTAGAACCTCTATATCCTTAATTCTCCCAATGGTCTCTCTTAATTCTGTCTTCATATCACCCCATAGTGCCTCGATCAGGTTTAAATCTGAAGACTGAGGTGGCCATCAGAGTTGCTCAACTTTGTTGATTTCCCGGCAATGCTTTGAAAACTTTTGGTGACCGGGGGCACTGTCTTCAACAACCTATTTTACTTCTTTTAGCAATTGTAAATCTGACCAAAAACAACTATCTATGTAATACTACCTGAGTCCATCCATAATACTTACAAGTTCGATGCCAGAATGGAATAAGAATAGGATCAAGAATATGAGTTACATGGTACCAAGAGTCAACTTTCATTTTTGGAGGGATAACATATAACTCGGACTTCATTTCACCACAAAACCTACACCAAACCATCACACCTTCCTTTCCTGACTTCCAACTTTCATCAATACAATCTGGATGGAACTCTTCTTCAGGTCTATGCAATACCCATAGTCGATGGCCAAAGCCAGCAGTTGTGAATGTGGACTCATCTGTCCATGAGGTTTGGAGCCAATCATCATACATCCAATGAAGTCAGTCCTGACACCATTGTACTCGCAGAGGTTTATTCCTTTCACAAACACTGAATCTAAAGGAACAAAAAAGTACTTGTTACTGATCCCTATTTATCATAGGCTACTGAAGAGAGGAACAGAAAAGGAATAGAATGACATACTTTTTTCATGAATGCCACTTATAGTATCCCATTGATCCACATACATTACAAAGAGTACGAATGGAGTCTGCATATTCTAACTCCTACAACATATCCTGCCATTCTAAGCGTCGATTTCTCTTATCAGTTGTTATAAAAATTTGCAGTCACTTATTCTTGGCATCATCAAATATTGGTGGCCGGCCGGTTTGATGCTTGCTGGTTGGTATATTATTGGCTTTTAAACAAGCATAGATATCATGACAAGTGCTCAGCTTTATACTCACTAGTACCATAATATCTTTCCACTTCATTTTTGCCTCATCGTGAAGAGTGATGATGCGAAGCTGTTCATCAAAGGTCATTTCCCGGTGCTTTGTATTATTTGGAAAATGCTCACTCTAGGTTTCCTTCATTATAAGAAATAAATAAAATATGGGAGACTTTGTGGACAGACTTCAGACGTGGATCAGATAGGATTCAGAGCAAACAAGATCAGTTGACCTTGACTTTGGATGTGAAATCATGAAGTTTCTGATTTTGATAGTAGTTTAGTGGTTATATGGCTGTGGTGACAGACTCCATCTTGGATAACCTCACTCCAAAAGCTGGATTTGGATTGCTGAATCTTGATTTCCGACGTTGACAAGATCCACCAATCATATCCTTTCCGATCACTTACCCTTACACCCTCGTACTTGTAAAAGTCGGATTTACATGGGGGGGGGTTTCTGCTCGGTTCCCGTTCGCATTTGCTTAAAGTGTGGCGATTTTGGGGTCATACTGCCCCCTCGTTGGCTTAGCTCCAATCCGGCCCTTACTAAATGATATGGTGTTCAACTAGACTTCAACATTGGCCTAGATTTCTGTTTCTCCAGATGCAAGGTGGGTCTCTAGGGGCAATTCAGGGCCAAAATACCGGTTGGCATTCGACGGACATAGTGTATTCCGAATTCTGTACGAACACTGCGAACCCGACCGCAGAAGCATTTTGCCTCCCGCCCTTCTCCCCCCTTTCTGCCATCTCAGTCGTTCGAATACGGATTTGGTATCGTATCCTATCGATACGAGTGCAGTATCGATGACATTACATTGCTTTGCCTATTCCTCGGGGGGATTTTTTATTCTCCCCTCCTTTCTTCCTCTCCCCTCCAATCTTCTCCATACTAATAAGTCTTGGAGGAGACCGTCCTAATTTGGTCTCTCTCTCGAGTTTTTTTTTTTTTTTTCCCTTTCCCATCAGCCATTTTCATAGGGCCGGCTGGTTGTTTCGTCCCATCTCTTCCAGATCCATACTATCCGGTGATAATGAATGAGGTAACAGTGTACCGTACTCGCCATCTGGGGTGTGCCTGCACATGGGTGAAGATGTGGGCGCGGTCTTGCTCGGTTGTGCAAAACCTACCGTATTGTCTTTGCCTCACGAGGTTTTCTTTTTTCTTTTTTCTTTTCGGTTTTTTCGAAGGGGGGGGGGGTCTTTTTTTCCGGACCTCCCTCCACGCTCTCTTTCTTATTTACCCTTTCTTTTTTGTTTTTTAACTTAAAATTCTCACGCATCAATGGTTCCTGTTTTTGAATTTATGGTGTATCGTAACATAGCAAAGCATACAGTACTCGTAAAGTCTTCCTGAAGGATCAGATTTAACTTGCCTCCCCCCACCCCCGCCTCAGTTGCACTTATCACGCCAACCCCATCCCTCATCCCTACATTTAGTACGGTACCGTACGCATCCAGTCAGATTACCCAGATCTTTCCGCTGGGGATAGCCTGGCATTCAATCAATTGATCCTCTGCTGGGATAGTTACACTCAGATATCGATTAGGCCGTCGTACGCTCGGCTACCGCCATACAAGAGGTCAATTCCATCAATCACATATATCCATCCCATCCCGGGCGCGCCAACACCACCCGTGAACCCAATACCGCTCCATTCAGGCCTTATTGTCTCACCTCACAAAAAGTCAATCAAAACCGAGACCAACAGAGAGGCAAGAGTGACAAGGGGGTCAGATTCCAGGCCGTCCCTATAGCGCAGCATTTTGTACTCCTCTCCCTCCTCTCCCTCCACCCCGGTCTCTCCGATTTTCAATCCCCTGAGAGATTCCAGTGTTCGCCCCTGTCTCTACATACCTGCACGATTCACCTCACTATTACCACTCCCCCCCCCCGGTCCCAGCCCGCAAGCACGCACAAGCTACAGTAAGACATTTATCTTCAGTCTCTGAGGAGTAAAGCAGGAGGAGGAGGAGCAGCAGCAAGCAAGAAGCAAGCAACCAGCTGGGGAAATTTTAGCATCACTGAGCTTGCCATTTTCACGATTCAATTGCGGTTCGGAAAACCCTCACACACTTTCTAGGCCCACACGTTTTGGTTGTATCCCATCACCTGCCTTTAATTCTCCTCCTTATTATCTCCTGCGTCTTCTTCTCCTATCTTTCCCTTCTTTCCTTCACATACCCATACTCGAAGACGCTAGTATATCTTCAGAGGCGCATCCATCCTGCGAGAAGCCAGCCAGCCATTTCTGCCAGCAATCAGAAGCTTGGGACGACCTCCAATTCCAACTCTACCCAGCTGTCTGGCTCTTGATATAGCGGTGCCTTTTTTTGTCGTTTACCAAACCGGTTCCTGTCTCGATACCATTCCTTCGGGTTGTCGCTTCTTCTCGGTAGATCCCTCACCAGAAGGCTTGTTCGGCAACATCTAAAAAACGTGGTGATCGCCCGCTCCTTGCTCTCTTTGGACCGGACATCAACTATTATCACCTCTGCACCATCTGCCACACCCCCTCCCACTTGTATCATTACTGTTCCCATCCACGCACTCCCCGCATATTCATACTGCGTCCTTGCCCGCCGCCCATCTTTCCCTTTAACAGCATCAGACACCTGCACCCATCTTCACACAACAAATCCTTTCTCTTCCACTACCACTCCACCTAACATCTCCGCCTCCAACAACTACCCAACAGCTAGTAACTGAAGTAACTGAGGTATGTATTGTATTGCACTTCTCCCGGCTTCCAATCCATCCTTAGTGCATCCAGCCCTATCCCCTACCATTACCCACCTTCATAGTTCGTCACAACTTTTTTATTTTTATTTCATCCTTTCCCTCCCCTTTTGTGCCTATCCTGCTGTTGTTGGTTCTTCCTTTGCCGCTGTCATCCACCTGAACTTCATGTCGCTGACTCAAGTGATCTAGCAGCCTGTTGCGCCTCTCGTTGAGCTGTCCCAACCTCCGCTACGAGATCCCAGCCTCCAAGGCGGCTGCGCTATATACCCCCTTCCCTCCTAGGGGCATTTTCCGTCAAAGTCTTCACCACGGCGGCCCTCAGCTACCCCCCGTTCTCACGGGAAACAGTTTCGCCTCTCCAACTCTTTATTCCGCCGACACCGCAGTCTTCCTATCCGTCGCCGACCCTAAGCGCGGCAGACAAGTATCCACTGCCCTCCCTGGATCCCTCCCAGGGCCAGCAAGCCCAATATTGGGGAGGAAGCTCCTCGGGGGCTTCCTCTACTACTGCCTCTTCTCCCTCGATTTTGACACCTTCCCTGGGCTCAGGTACTTCGCCACCTTCGCTATCGTACTTGCAATCTGCGCCATTTAACTACCAATCCTCGGTCGCTAGGACCCTTCCCACACCACCCACTACTAGCGACGCAGAAACAAGACCTTTCCCTCCTCCAGTCCGTGAAGAGATCTCCAACCTGGCTGCCACATTAGCACAGAGCTCCTCTTTGATGAGCACCCACGACATGTCTTCGGGCCTTGCTGCGCGGAGGCAGCAACATCCGCTTCCCCAGTTCCATCTCAACACCACAAGAGCACCCTACTCGAGCTTTGGCGGCAATAGTGTACTTACTCCCCCACCAATGGGACCCAACGAGATAACCAGTCCATTGAGCAGTGGTGGTAGTAGTGCTGGAACGGTATCTGCCATGGGACAGTTTTCCCCGGTTGGTTATTGGCCTGCTACCTCGAATAGTTCGCCCTATGGTTACGGCTCAGCCTCAGCAAATGCTTCGTATACGTCAGGAGGGATCCAGAGTTCCACAAACTCAAACTTTGGGGTTAGAGGGTTTACCTCGCCTGGCGTAACGTTGAACAGAGGAAACAGCAGACCCTCAAGCCCTGCCACTGGGGAGTTAGTTCACCCCCCCAGTTTTGACAATCCGTCGCCCTATACAGGCGGGATACCCATCTCGACCAGTGCTGGGGGCCACCCAATCGCTGCGGTAGCTGGATCAGGTTTACCTTCGATAGGGCCGGGGTCGAATGTCCATGGTAACTACGCTGCTGCCTACCTTCAACCCAATCAGCACCCTAACCAGCCCCACCCTCCAATGAACAGCCAATCACAACAAAATCACGATCCGTATTCCCCTCAAGGTTCGTTACCTCCTCCAAACCCCTCGCAGCCCTATTATGGACAGCAGCAACAACAAGGCCTTCAAATGTCGCCCTCGAGTGTTATGGGTAGACAGATGAACTCTGGGCCCCAGTACCCGCCACTAGTCCCGTTGCAACCGAATTACAAGCCTCAGTACCCTCTTCCGGGGGTAGGCGGACCAGTTATGGGTGGGATCTTACACGGACACCCAGGCATGATGACCCATCACCATCCCGGTGCTCACCATCAACAGCAACAAACCGAGCGACCCTTCAAGTGTGACCAGTGCCCTCAAAGCTTCAACAGAAACCACGACCTGAAGCGACACAAGAGGATACATCTGGCTGTTAAGCCCTTCCCTTGCAATAACTGCGAGAAGAGCTTCAGTAGGAAGGACGCTCTAAAGGTGAGAACCAAGTCCCGCAGTGGCAAAGTTTTTGAGAGTATTGAACTAATAACGTGTTGCAGAGGCATCGCCTTGTTAAGGGATGCGGAAAGAACGACCATCTTCAAGGACAACCTTCGCCTGCTACTACTGGACAGGATTCGAAACAATCACCTAGCGTCTCACCGGTTAGTGCTAGAAATCCTGGCCCGGAACGAAACGCCAGTCCACCAGGGAGCGCTGGTGGTATGATAAAGCATGACCGATAATATAGTACCTTGACAGCTTGTCATCTATCTCTCGGCTCTTCGAGACTTGTAAGCTATAATATTTTCTTGGTGGATACCCTCGATACCTTTCGTCTATTGTCGTTATAAAGACCTTATTCTTTCGGTTCTCTTACCACATGTCCATTCTTCGCATTCTTCTCGGCATTTGTTATGTGTTTATGGTGCGACTCTTTGCTCAATATGGGAGTAGTGCTTTTTTATATATCTGTTTCGTGTCAAAATATTATGGGGCTGGAGGATTTTGTGCTTTTTTGTGCTTTTCTCGACGGAATACCTAGCATGATTTTCTGTCTTTCTTTCTTTACGTGTATGCAAAAGGCGCTTCTTGTTTGGCGTGGGCGGCGATTGATTTTTAGTATTTTCTTCTCTTATAATTCCTCGGGCTTTTGGATTTTGCTTTCCTATGGGGACTGGTAAAGCCGCGTAATCTTTGGCTTTGCTGTCGATATATCATCTGTTCTGTTCGTTCGATTGGTCCATATCTTGCTTTCTTTCTACTGTTGGGTGAGGCAAACGGCAGGAGGGAAAATATTTAGCGGTGTTGTATGCTTTATATCTGGTGCCGGGGGGGGGGTGCTTGAATTTTAATTGATGGTAGCAACATTGGCAGGGGTTTGTCCTGATTGCTTGCGGTGGCGATATATCCCAGTGTTCATCGGCGGCGGGGAGGAAGGATAACCCTTTCGGTGATTCTGTCATTGCGGTATCATATCATATCCTGGGCTTCGAATTATTGTTGTGATTAGGTTACCGTATTATACTATTGAAGAAGTAAACGTCGCTGAAGAATTTGCCGGCGTTAGGGTGTTGATTTGGTTAGGACTTGTGGGTGATGGGATCAGGTGATGCGTTACCTTTGTGCAATGCAACATATCCATACGCTGTGTGATGGGTGACATGAAGCGAAGAAAGTGGGCGCCTGTGGCATGCTGTTGTGTTGTTATTCACCGGAAATCTTAGCACACAATGGAATGTTTGATTCTCGCTCGTAGAGAGGGGGTCAGAGATGTGCTGTGTTGTTTTCCCGGTTGTTCTCTCGTTTAAGTGTGAATGAGGCTCTGTGTGGGGGAAGATCTTCGCAAAGAAATGCCAACTTTACCAGGTTTGGACAACGGGAGTCTGTGCACATCCCTGACTGAGGCGCTGGACGTCGGGTGATCGACGCAATTCATTTTGTGACATTGAAGGTGGAATATTTGAAGGCATTCCTGTCATGAGGAATTCACATAGCAAGTATGCAAAAGATGTGTGTGTGTGTGTGTGTATAGCCCTCCTTTTGTGAGGGCTTGCAGCTAACATGATAATTTGCTTATGAAATGCTTGTGAACAGCATCCGTTCCTTTTTTTCTGGTTTACCCTTCCCCCTTTGGTCTGTCCACTCACTTGGTGATATCTGACCTCTATCGTGGGGGGATTCTCTTCTCCGGATAATCCATGGAGAGTTGACACTTCTACTTTTTCCTTCCTTCCTTCCTTCCTTTATCTTTGTCTTGTCTTTTGTTCATCCACTACACTCATTTGTGTTGAATTGAGTTTTGCCCTAGGGCATTGCTGTCGATCTTTAATATTTCTCTTTGGTTCTCTCAACAATTGCGTTTTCACCTCCATTTTCTTAGCCTTTTCTAATTTTTTCCTTCGTCGTCACCCCATCCTGTAGTAACCGTACTACGCTTGCACATTTACGTTGGCGCAGGTTTTGCGGGCTATACCATAATTTCGGCGACTGGCCTTCCGTGCCTGAGCTCAGGTATCATAACAAACTTCCAGAACAACTTCCCTCCTTCCTCCACGACACCCTCTGTTCATTCACACAAACACCCATCATTCCTTCCTTATCAAATAGATTAATTTTATTTGCCGGCAGTACGTATTTCCTTAATCCAGTAAGCACTGCTTCTGTCAATCACCATCTTAGCTTGATTTCTCACAGGGGCGATTCTAACGCAGGGCCATAGGTCAAGCCCTGTTGTAATATCCTTATAGACTAATACCTGCCATGGAGTCTCGTGGCAAAGGCGATCGGACTTCGTATAGAGGTTCTCGGAGACCTTTGCAGGATACACCCGTTAATGTAGCTTATTCTTCATCAACTAGAGCACCGGCTCCACCCAACTATTCCAAGCCCCGAGCATTCGATAATCAGGAGCAGCAGAAGACCACTCAGCAAACATCGAACAGATCATACAAGCAGGCCGACTCCTACGAGCCTCATGGCACTGGAGAGTATGTTGGGGATACCTCCTCGAGTCCTGTCGACCCCCCCCCTTCGACCCCCCCACCCCAGAAGCCGAACGCACACCGTGCTAGAGTCAAGGCACAGGTTGGCCCGTGGCTCCTTGGACGTACTCTAGGGAAGGGAAGTAGCGGAAGAGTTAGACTGGCTAAGCATGTCGAGACCGGTCAATTCGCCGCCATTAAGATCGTTGGAAAGGGGAATGATGAGATGGTTGGTGAAAATGGGCAGGAGAGACCTCTACCACCGGGCTTGGAGCGAGAGGTGGTTATTATGAAGTTGATTTGCCATCCGAATGTTATGGGTCTGTGGGATGTTTGGGAGAATCGTGGAGAGCTGTAAGTCAGCCTGCTGCGCGAGTGTGGTTCCATCATGCTAAAAACGGACACAATCGGTAGATATCTTGTTCTGGAATACATCGAAGGTGGCGAACTCTTTGATTACTTGACTCGCCGTGGCCGTCTGCCGGAGCCTGAGGCTCTTATGTACTTCCGTCAAATTCTTTCTGGGATCGATTACTGCCAGCATTTTAATATCTGCCATCGCGATTTAAAGCCAGAGAATCTTTTACTCGATTCCAATGGAAATATCAAGATTGCTGATTTTGGTATGGCTGCTCTACAGCCTCATGGATCTCTCCTAGACACTCCTTGTGGATCTCCTCACTATGCGTCCCCTGAGATTGTTTCGGGAAAGCATTATGATGGGGCGAAGTCTGATATTTGGTCTTGTGGTATCATTCTGTTCGCTCTTTTGGCTGGGTACCTCCCGTTCGATGACGACAATATTCGGAAGCTGTTGCAAAAGGTTATGAAGGGACGATTTGTTATGCCAGTTGAATTCTCGATAGAAGCACAGGACCTAATAACGAGAATGCTGACCATCGACCCTGAAGAGCGCATATCCATGGAAGAGATCTGGAAACACCCTCTTGTGCGGATGTACGCCCCTTTGGACCCGGTCACAGGCGAGGAGGCCGATAGGGGTCCGAAGCCTCCGCGCTCGAAAGATATCGGACGACCAGTAAAGCATGGAAGAGATATCGATGGTGAGATATTAAAGAATTTGCAGACTCTTTGGCAAGGTGTTGAAGAAAATGCCCTGATCGAGAGGTTGTTGAATAATGTGTAAGTGATTGCCTTACCCTTGGGCTCCGGCCTGAAGCATGTTATCTGGGATTCGAGTGGATGTTGTGAGTCGTGGCTCTTGCGGGGGGTTGTTTCGATAATGTAAATGTTTGGATTGCGCGAATTATGGCGTGAAAGCAAAACTAACTGTAACATCTTGTTTGCAATTACAGACACAACCAAGAAAAGGTATTCTATTTCCTATTGATGAAGTATCGATATGAACATTTGGAAAATTATCCCGGAATCTCCGAAGAGCGTAAAAGCTCTCAGACATCTGGCAGTTCAACATCCACCCATCTACCTCAACGCCGGATCGGCAGTCGACAGGGAAGACGTGCCGGGACTGTAGCACGGCGTGGTAGACATAGAGAAACCCCTGGTGCCTCTGCAGCTGGTGGCGATGTTGTTGACTATCGCCCTCCCACTAGAGGAAAGCCACAAGCCGAATCGATCGATGGCGGCGGCCGCGTGAACTACAATGCACGAGAAAAAGCAGGTGATCGCCTACGGTCCGTGAGGGGTAGGCATAGTATTGCAGATAATCGCAACCAAAATTCTGTCCGATTAAGGGGAGTATCCTCCCGAGTATCTGCAACGGGCTCCATCCGCCACCATCATTACCTTCATGCTGTTAACACGAATAGTACTGGTGGTCGGTATCGCTCTCGGTCCTCATTGGCAAGCCATACAAGCACGTCTCCATCACTTTTCAGATCAAACGGCCATTCCAAACGTCGTGTTAGCTTTAAACGCAATACCAGTCTCAATAATCGCCATGCAAGAGCTGGTGGGTCAGCTGCCTCAAGGAATCCACCACAAGACCCTGTTTGGATCGACGATGAGCGCGGTACACGTACCCATGCTGTTGGATTTGGTCGAGAGGATACACCAAGATTTGAGATCAGTCCGGGAATATTTATACCTAAAGGAAGAAAGGAGAGTATTGATACCACCGAGAGACTCTCGACCTCTGTTAATGATGGAATGGCTACGGATGGGAAGGGTGTCCGCGCGGGCAAGCCCGGTCGAAGAGCATACCATGCCAGCGAGCAAATAGATGCAGAGAGGCGGCGGATAGCCAGTGAAGAGCTTGAAGCAGCTTGTGACAGGGCTTTCGGCTCTCCGGGGTCACTCAACACGCTTAGTACCGTGAGAAGTGTTTGCGACACTGGCGATACAAGCTCTTATACGGTCGATTCTCCGGCTACTATTAGAGCTCAGCAATCTCGTAGGGATGGCGATGATAGGCCACTACCGACTTTACCTCCAGAAGCGCTTATTAGAAAATGCTCGAATGGTCGTAGCACGCTTAGAATTTTTGATGATGACGAACCTGACCCCGATAAAGGTTGCCTGGACGATGTTCTTGAGCACTTTGATAAACTCATGGAACGTCCGATTTCCTTCGGGCCACCCTCTAATCAACTTCGTGCTATTTCTCAAGGCGGGAGGCCGCTCAATTTGGCTGGCACTAATAACACTATTCCCATGCCTCATATCTTTGAGAAGGAGAAAATTGCAAAACTCGAAGCGCAGAACCAAGGCTTGGGTATTACTCGTGGGGGCGTTGGCAGCAAGTCGAGGGTGGTTTCTGCACCACAGCCAAATCGGAATGTCTCGTTGGCACGCCGTCATCCGAAAAGGCAATCCGATAATCTGACTCGTGTTGATAAATTCGAGCCGGCCCCGTTGAGGATACGTCCGAAGAGTGTCGTGAATCGCCATGTGCCTATCGACAGAGCTGGGGATGGGAGTAGGAATTCGAAACGTTTGAGCCAGTTGCCAGCTGTCAAAGATGAGTCTGCCGGATTCAATCCAGAGCTAATTCTGCCCTCAACACACGGGGACGAGAGACAATCCCTAAGGTTGGCGAATGACGAAACTCGCACCATCGCTACAAAGGTGAATCCAGTCATGTCCGGTGCCCTCGCGACAGCGGTTATGGAACCTTTGGTAAAGGGGGTCAAGAAGAAGCGTTCCCTTTTTGATGTTTTGAAGGGAAAGAGCAAAATCGCACCTGAGTCTAAGGATCCTGCGGTTGAAGAGATTGTCTCAGGCGGGATCAAGGGCACTTTTGGGCGTCGTTCTGGAAATCTTCTTAAGAGGTGGGCTAGTCGTGATGCTGGGGGCTTGTTGGCTTTTGGGACTTCTAATGGTATGGCTGTATAGCTCATTTGACATCTACAGTCGAACAGTGAGGTTTTTTTCGTGTTTTTCATTGTGCTGACCAGTACTACTACTAGATCGTGGCGACACCCAGAGCATTGGAAACGGGCTCACATCTTGCTTTACGGTTCCTCAGGGCTCGAAAGAGGGGAGTGGTAGCTTTGGGGGCTTCGAGGAGGATCAGTTCACTAAGGTCATGTCCCAACGCAATTGGTTCATGAAATTCCTTAACGTCAAGCCGGCTAGTCGCGTGATCTGCTTCAACATCTCACCCATGGTTGCGCGTAAAGAGATTATGAAGCTTTGGAAGGAATGGGTCAAATATGGACTGGTGATTGTTGAGGATGATCGCAAGTCTTTGGTTATGAGGGCTAGAGTCGGAACTCCTAACAGTAAGATTGCCTTCCGAGTTTAGTCGTGATCCTTTCTCTAGAGGGTGTTTTCAAGTAAAAAAATACTCACGAGGGTGTTGTATAGGTCTTAATATTAAGGAGGTTTCTTTTGTGGGCGAAATTCGTGCTTACGGAGGATCTAGAAAGACTGGATCTGGTGTGGTGAGATTCACCCAGGAGAGAGGTGCTGCGTCTTCCTTCAACCGTGTCATTGGAGAGATGACGAAGAAGTTCTCTGAGAAACGGATAATCCTCCCAGAGGACTAGGCCCGTGGCCTTCCCGGATGTAATGGTAGGATGTACAGCGAAGAGGGCTTCTAAATTTCCTTTCTTTTCTACTAACCCTTTACTAGATTCTCTGTACAAAAGTATTTTCCATTTTTCACAACCCCTTCACAACAGCAGCCCTTCCTTCTGTACCCGTAACATCCGCTTTAGCTTTCTGTCAGGGCACGTCCGGTCTCTACAAAAGCTTACTGGACTCTTCTTTTCGGATTCGAGTCATACGTTAATTTCCTCATCCCTTTCGATTACTGTATCTTGGTAAACACTGCTTGCTCTAAAGTGTAGTTTTATATGTACGAGAGACCAAACTTTCGAAAGGGAATTCAAATACTGTTTTTGACAATTTTCTGCCACTTTTTTTTTTTTTTTTTTTGATGGGTGCCACTGCGGCCTTATGGTGTCGTTTTTTTTTCGTTCGACCCTAGCCTGGGCTGGTCGGTCTGGTTTACAAGGTATTCTAACCCCCGAGCGGCGGGCTAGCCTAAGCATTGAGCGAGCAGGCGGGCAAGCCCTAGGCTTAGCCGTTGAAGCTTAGCCGTTGAAGCACAGGTCAAGCACAGTCGTTACTCGAGTATGATACAGAAACTCCACTGAGCAAAGCTTCCGCTGTGACTCCAATGCCTACGGTACTATACTTCTCTATCACATACCGTACTATACTCCGAATCTCAAGAACTCTGTAGTTTGCGATATCGTGTTAGTCCCCACCCCCCACTAACTACACTATACTACCGTACCCTATAGGCAAAACAGATAGGGCAATGGTGAGGCTAAGGGAAATCCGGTCCCCATAGTATGATATCATAATAATATTATCATAAATTAGTGATTGAAGTTAGCCAAACGCAAGGCACCAGATCAAGCTGGGCTCGGATGTCCAAGCCTATGATATTTATAGTCCCGTATCGTAAACTGGGGGGTCTACATGCGCGAGCAGTGCTCGAGTATCGCAGTGCACTTGCACGAGTACAGTACCTACAAGTAAAATTGGGAGATGCGTTTACGTTAACTCGAGTGCTGTGCCCTTGGTTCTGTTCTAACCTAGGGGATAGGCTGAATTGAAGGCAATCCGGCGGAGTGGTTTCTTTTTGTTTTGCCGTCGGGGGAGTTTTATATGTAAATAACATGATACGTGAGCGGGCATTCAGTTTTTGGCTTGGTTTGATTCGGTTTTGCTTTATACCATAGTCGGGCAGGGCGGGAATGGAACGGGGGGAGGAGGGGGGGGGGGGTGGACATCTGTGGACTTTGGTGGACATTTGTGGACCTGCCAGACTCTTTTCTTTTTCATTTTTCATCCTGATAGTTAGGTTATAACCTGTGTTGGGGAGTACTGCAGTCTAGTGTAGGTCACGGGTCGGAGTTCTGTGTCGAGCACGGTTTGTATCATACGTCCGTCCGTCCGACTGAAGGCTGTGTTGTATTAAATTATCTACCGTAGGCTCTCACTCTGTACTGTACTGCACTTGTAGCGTCTGCATACCCACCCACCCCTCTTCTACAGGTAGATGTAGTACTGTACAAGACGTTATTGGCGTTGTTTTTGTTTTGAGTGTTACTGTATGTCTACTCTACCGTAATCGAGGTATGCGTCTTTTTTTTTTTTTTTTTTTTTTTTTTCATCTTGATTTTTGACCTCATCTCGTCCTCCTCCTCCTTTTGTTCGTGGGTGGCTATGTGCGGCACTGTACAGTACTCGAGGACTCGTGAGCTATAGCACTGCCTTAGTCTCTCACCCATATGCATATGCATATTATACATATGTACAGTCGCACCCCGCTATAATGGACCCCTTTATAGTGAAAAAACCGAACAAATTGTGGTGGAGTTTGGATTTCTCATAGAAATATTCTTGCTATAACGAATTTTATTGGATAGTGAATATGAATAGATTTTTCAGATTTTGTACCCCTGTTCCCATACAAATTTAACCTGCTATAATAGACAATTGGCAACTAGAGAAGCAGATTGGCATATGTTTGGCTAAAGCCAAAATCATACTGAGAGGGAAAGAGATTTAGGTCCTACGAGTCATATGGATGGGGGTACATATTGTGATGAGTTTGGTCCCTCTCATACCCACTGAAACTGCTGCCTCTAGCTTGTTCTAACTCTTCCTCATCTGTAGTTACACTATCACCTTCTGTTTCTCCTACCTTCAACTCTACAATACCACCCTGCACCATTGTGATTGGCACCTCTGACCACTCACTCCTGTGAGAAGCCTCATGTTCTCTTTCTTTCCATTTCTATTTCTATTTCTATTTCTATTTCTATTTCTATTTCTATTTCTATTTCTATTTCTATTTCTATTTCTATTTCCGTTTCTATTTCTGTTTCTGTTTCTGTTTTCTTTTCTGCTATGCCAGTTACTTCTTAAGCTGATGGAGCAAGGTTGATCAGCCTGAGAGTGAGCTGGTGGCCAAGACTTCAGCTGGGAAGGTATCCGAGTAAAAAAAGTATTGATGCTAGTTTGTTTCTTTTGAGATTCTTGATAGCAAATAGAGTAAAGATAATTAGTAAGACAATAGTTCTCTTTCTTTTATGATCAAGAATTGGAAAATCTAGTATTGAAAGTGAGATATGAAAGGTATTCTTCCTTAACCAGAAATAAATATAAACCTACTAGTGAAGAGCAGAGGCTAAAAAGGTAGACTGTTTGACCATTGCAGAGAGCAAAATCTTCCGCCTAGTATTAGTTGAAAGGGAACTAACTGGTAGTGACTGAAGGTAGTGGGAGATGTTGTGAAGGGACTGGATAGCTTTGGTAGGAGATAAAAGCTGAAGTAGGGGGGTAAAAAGTTCATTATCGAGATCTCCTTCCGTGTCAAGGTATGTTGTTTCCATATGATCAATATTCCATATAAGTAAACCCAAATTAATATATTCCTAGACAAGAGATCTGGAATCTGGGAGAATTGCATGTATTTTGGCAAGGTCCTCAGCATCTTCCAGACTCTCATCACGGCAATAGTTATAAAATCTTTGATCCAATTTAGTTTGTGGGAGGCCTGGATTGAGGATTCTGACAGTGAAACGAGTTTGAGCAGAGGAAGCAGCGAGGAAGTCAGAGTCCTCAGCAGGTAAGTGACGAGAACTAAGCAAACCAGCCTACTTCCAGCAGTTACTAATTGTACTGGTAGGAATCAACTCCCATGTATCAGCTATGAGGTATATTGTGGAGAGAATATTGAGCTTTGGTGGAGCTTGACTATGTCGATTGAAGTATTAAACTATGTAGTCCACATACTGCCTCCAGTATGCCGCTTTGAAAGAAGCAATAATACCCTGATCAAGTGGTTGGAGCTTTGAGGTAGTATTCGGAGGGAGATAGAAAAGGGTGATATTCGTAAGTACTGGTAGAGCTGGTTCTTTGTAGTTCTCAGGTTGAGAATTGGGGTGTGGATGGCTTGGCAGTTATCGGTAATAAGGATAATATTCTGTCTCTGGATTTATATTTTTTGATCAAAATTCCTTAAATATTCATATCACAATCCACTTAACATCCAAGCCTTTTTGTTGTAGCGGTAAAGAATTGGTAGGTTATGAATATTAATTCTATTGTGCTGGAATGCCTGTGGTGTTTCTGCCCATCCAATGACTATTAAGCGTCTTTTTTCAGTCCCATCTGCATTGACTGTATGGAAGGTTGTAATGCGAGTTTTATCTAACTTGACCTTGGCTAAAACTCTTCCATTTTCCTTTCTTACATTAGAGTAAGCTGCCTGTTTATTATATTGTAGACCACTCTCGTCACAATTCTAAATGTCCTCCAAGGCAAAATACCTTAGGCTCTGTTTGGCGGGAACGGAACCGTTCAGGAACGGTCCAGTTCAAAATGGTTGCAACAGGTGAAATGGAGCACTTCTGTTTCGAAACGGTTTCTCTTACCTTCAATTGAGAATTTTTTTTAACCCCTGGCAACACTCTATAGGGCAGAGTAATTTTGAATACCATACCCTAATAAATCTGCTTTTTTCTTTTTCTTGTAAACTAATGAAATAAATTCTATATTATGTGCAAATCTCTCAGTCTCCTGTACAAAAAAAACTATCTTATCTTAATATTCGTGAAAACTTCTCCCTTTTCTAAAGAGGTTTCAACTTATTCACAGATACCAAGATGGACGAGCATTCTCCTCAATACCAGTGTGTTACCACTTTCACCATACTTATCAAAATTGTTTACTAATTTAAAATTCCTGGTGAGAGACAGTCTCGTATTGGATGATTTATCCAAGATCTGGCGCAAGGAGCGTAGAAACCCGACTCTGTGCTCCGCCAGAAGCTCATCCAGTGGACCAATACAAATGTAGACTTGCTAGAATCGTGTCCGGATTCTGAATATTCGGAAGTCCAGGTGCGCGCCCTCCGAGAGAGCCACCGGCGGCTCGGAAGGTTTTGGTGATCGCTTCCGGAATCTCCGGCAACCCTGTTACAGGATGCCTGGAGAGCCCCCCGGCTGTAGCGGCTGGTGTTTCTTCTCTCTGCCTGCCATAGCCGCTGGAGGGAAAGGCAACAACAGGCTGATTGCCAAACGCCTGGAGGGTCACCAGGATTCCCGATTATTATAACAGCTGGCGTTTGCTCTTTCTGCCCACGGTAATCACAGTATAGGCAAACGGCGTCAACATTCTGATTAGCAATCCCTTCGCGTAGCGGATCGATAACCAAGGGGCTGGGATAACGTGAGCGGTGAACTGAGTGCATGCGGGGTTACGAATCCTACTTGACGAAAGCATCTCCCGCTTTCGAGGCCCCATGACAAAATGGGACGGCATTACTTCTATCGGCATGCCATGTTTGAAACTCGCTG